AGGAAAAGGAAAAAAAAAATGAAAGAAAACTAAGAAGAAGATGTGAGAGAAGAATGAGAGATAAAGATGGATGATGATAAAGAAATATAAGGAAAAGATGATAAAGAAGAAAAGTTAAAAGATAAATAAGAGAAAACAAAAGAAGAAGATGTAACAATTATGTGAAGACGAAATACTCATTTTTGTTTTACTTCAATTGGTTTGTGAGTTCAATACATTTATTTACTAAACATTTTTTTCTTTAATTTTAGATAGAATTTACTTTTTCGGTTTGCTTTATTTTATCATGTATAAATAGATAAAAGGTGTTGGCCAAACACCTAGTTATATATAAAAACAGAAATTTTATTTTCACAGTTAAAAGTACAAAAGCAGCTTTGGTATTCGTCTAATAGTTTGACCTTTGGTGGTACACACGAACCTACTCCACCTTTCCATTTGGCAGCACAATCAGAGTTACACCGTTTATTGTCACAATAGTCTCCTTCAAGATAGTCACGACACTGTGCTCCTTGCGCCTCCTTCATCATCATTCCTAATAATACAAATTTTATATAAATACTAATCTTAGTTTGAAAAAACAGATGCTAATATCATCTCAATTCTTATCGTTATAGAAATAAAAAAATGATGAGAAATACTAATCTTAGTTTATGACTTGTAAGTCCGGCAATATATCTGTTTCTCATCTGTTTAATCTTAGACTGCGTTATGGCTCCATCTTGGACCGGTGGCAAGTGTTCCAAGATATTTGATGGATTTGTTGGATCGATGTCCACATCAAGTGTGAATAGCGACATTACACCTGATGGATCCTAGAGCTTAGACCCGTGGGTATCAATTCGGCTCCGGATATTAACCGAAAACCTATCAGGTATTCAGATACCCGAAAAAATACGTACTCGACAAATCATAGTTACATACCTAGGGTTTAACAAAAACCTTTGTCGATTGCACTCTTCAATCCTTTTCTATTCGACTGCAGCCTCAAAGAATCAAACCATTTGTCCCTAAAAAAATCAAACCCAAATATCAAAACTGGAATCCTTAGGCAACACTACAAGAAAACATATGGATTTCCTACGAGAATTTCCGACAAAATCTGTTGTCGGAAAATTGCTGACGCATAACCAACAAAATTCGTTTGTATTTTCTCGGAAATTTTCGACAAGAAAATGTTTCGAGAAAGTTTCTCGCAATCTACTCGGAATATTTTAGGAAAATTTTGAGAAAATATTTTCTTGGAAATTGACCAGAATATCATCGAAAAATTATCGGAACTTCTGATAGATTAGCTTTCTCAAAAATTTCCCGGAAACAATGGAAAATATCTTCGGCCCAACTCCGATTCTGACAAGATTCTGACCGACATCTAACGTTTGATAGAAATTCCTCGGGACGATGAAAAAATATATTCGTCCCAATGATATATTCATAACATTACATGCTTAGGTTGCATTTTTGGTCCAAGCATTGAGTCCCATGCATGCATTTTAGATAGATTCTTCATGTTTTGTTCTTGTTTTAGAGTTTTAGGACGTTGCATTAGGTCCAAGTGAATCTTGCATGTTTGGAGTGTCAATCAGGTTCTTTGGAACTTATTTGGAGTGGAAAATATGGAACCGGTGGAAGAAATGGTGGAAGAAGGTGAAGAAATTGTGAAAATGGGCATATGGAGTTCATCGGCCAAACTGGTGTACCGAAGGAAGGATTTCTTGGCCAAAAATCTTACCGCCGGCTGCAATTTCTCGGCCAAAACCTGTACCGCATGCATGTTCTCTCGGCCAAAACTCCCAGGCGCCGATACGCTTCGAAGATCGTGTTACCAGAAAGCCCTCCCGTCTGATACAGCTTCCGGGGTTTTCCATGAGGAGTCATCAGAGGGCGGCTTGCCATTGGGAAACACTCCTTCCTGCTTCTCTTCAAACCTCTCTTACTACTTGGGGTCAGACCTGAGTAGCTAGGTACACTCCAAACTTTGTACATATGCATATAGCTTCTTTCTTTTATATTTTGCATTTTTGTTTGATTTTTCCTCTTTCTCATGCTTTTATTACACATGGACTATGTAATTTAAGTGTGGGGGAGGGGTTTTATGTCTACTAATCATGTTTTCTATGTTTGTATTTTCTCTTCTACACCTTGAGTCTCATTTGATCATGCATAGCATCTAAGTGCATACAAAAACCAAAAAAAATAAAGAATCTGAAAAATTTTCACAAAAATGTTCATTTTGTTGCATTCCCACTTTAGGACCGAGTCCAGAGTTGCATAATCATATAGGTTTGCATCATTTGCATGGGAGTAATGATAGGTTTCTTTGAGAGAGCATCATCTTAAGAATTTAGTTCATGGCCCTAGTTTCTAATTCTTTGATGGTTGCAAACAAGAAAGAAATCAAGATTGATTCATGCTTGGAACTTGTTCTCACTGTCTTTGTGTTAGTTGGATCAGGCTTTGAATAGTTCTAGCCCTACTTAAAGTGATAACCCTGAATTTGACCTCTTAAATATCATGTTCATGCATCTGCTTGTTGATTAATAGGTATCACTATACATATTTGAACTTTCTTATCCTTTTTTGCCACTCTTGCTAACTCAAATAGCTGTTCTCCACTTTTAAGACAGTTACCACACCTTGAACTTAACCATCCTTGAAGCCAAATCATTACTTTGTGCATGTGAGGCCTCTTTCAAAGTAGAATTGGTAAAAAGTGTTGGGTCTAGAGCGACAGAGATAGGGCTGCATATAGATTCTAGTCCATAATCAGGAATAGCCTAGGATTGGTTGAGGTTTGAGGGTTGATTGAGCTTTGAGCTGAAAGTGATATCTTAGAGAGTGTGGAAATGAGGAAAGAAATGGGAATGGAATAGGGGAATGAACTCTGCAAAAGAAAGTGGTGAGTGAGAAATAAAAAGAAAAGCTCTAAGTGGACAAGTAGTCTCAACAAAAAAAAAATGAAAGTGATCAAAAGAGAGAGACTAAAAGAAAGAAAGAGAGCTAAGTGTTTAATGAAAAAAAAAAACTCACCAAGTGTTGAAAGGAAAAAGAGCATTCCCCTAAAGACGAAGCGAAATAAATGAATGAGAGCTGGAGATCATCAGGCAAAACGCCTTTTGGAAGAGGGTAGCTTAGACAGAGAGATTTTATGGGTATAGATTAGGGAGTGAAAGCATTTGGGGTGTCGGGTAGATGTAGTTCTATCTCTGTATGCATCCATTGCTTTTCACCCTTTTAGCATTTTACTAAAGTCTGCTTTTTCATTGAGAGATCCCTTGCATGGAGTACCAGTTGCTTAATTGAGATCACTTTAATCTCAAGACCCTAACCAGTTGTTAGAATCAATAGGTCTTCAAATCGTTCATTTGAAAAACTTGAAACCCTTTTTATTGGATGATCATAATACTTCTCAAAAATCAAAATTCTTGATCAATGGAGGAACAATATCACCATTTTTGTTCAATAAGATACCAAAGTGGATGATTGACTCATCCATACTAGAAAGAATCGCATGAAATCTTTTGATAACACGGATTCCTATTTCTAAATCGTATCCAATGATCAAGACAATTAGATGAATCCCGTGAAACTATTTCAGAGAAGTTAATTGTCCCTAGCCAAATGAGTCGACTTCTTTTGCATGAACAGGATCCACATGAAACTTTAATGAATGTCAAAGGGTTGGAACTATGAGTCCTTGTGAAGGCTGATGCTTTGGCTTGATTTACTTTGTGATGACTATGGCTAATGTTTTATGAGTAATCTTGTTTGCATTGCATTTCAGAATTAGCAACTAGGATCGTGAGCTTGAATTCTTTTACGATCAACTCTCTCTCTCTTTAAAGAAATGTGAACTCCTAAACCTCTCTCTCATTTGTTCTAGTTTACTTGAGAGCAAGCAAAGGATAAGTGTGGGGGAGTTGATATATTCACATTGCATGTTTGGGATGCATTTTTGGTCCAAGCATTGAGTCCCATGCATGCATTTTAGATATATTCTTCATGTTTTGTTCTTGTTTTAGAGTTTTAGGATTTTGCATTAGGTCCAAGTGAGTCTTGCATGTTTAGAGTGTCAATCAGATGCTTTGGAACTTATTTTGGAGTGGAAAAGATGGAACCAGTGGAAGAAATGGTGAAAGAAGGTGAAGAAATGGTGAAAATGAACATATGGAGTTTATCGGCCAAACTGGTGTACGAAGGAAGGACTTCTCGGCCAAAAATCTTACCGCGGGTTGCAATCTCTCGGCCAAAACCTGTACCGCTTGCATGTTATCTTGGCCAAAACTCCAAGGCGCTGAGACGCTTTAAAGATCGCGGTACCGGAAAGCCTTCCCGTCCGATCCAATTTTTGGGGTATTCATCAAAACTCAAGAGGATCGAATAATGATTCCTGAACACTTAGAATCAATGGATTTGGATTAGTGATCTGAAAGATATGGCCAACATAAGATGAACCTGTCTTGCATCCATTCCGGATAAATCCGATGATGCTAAGAGAATCAAGGGTTACTTCTATCTTCACGTTTTAAATTTATAACCATAAATATCTGCAAATGCACAGATGTACGCTGTAGTACTTAGGGGTCGAACCACAGGGATTTTGAGCTTTCAGTACGAATCAATCAAGACTTAAGACTAGTAGAACAAACAAATGGGGGTTTTGGTTTTGGTGTCAATAAATCTAAAAGCAATCGAAATAAACAAGTTGTAAAACAATAAGAAACAGGCCCTGGGTTCAAAGGGTTTTCGCAGGGGTTCATGAACTGATCAAAAGACATACAAATTGATAAAGGTAATCATCTAGTGAGGATCCCGAACTAGAATAGACACATATAAGATTAGCCAACTATCGTCACCCTAATCATCTAATCACTCAACACAGCAAATAACTCTCGCTCTCATGCTGCGAATAAGATCATGCATTAAAAACAGAATTCATCAACACTCGCGATTCTCTGTAGGTAGCTTTCGTCTCCTACATCAATTTCGCTCGATCACTTCTAGGTCTGGTTATTCGATACAGCACTCTCAAGGCTCCAATTACTGAGATCAATTTCTAAGCGGTTAGCAACAGAAACAACATAGGGAACAAGAATGAACGAAGGACTCCTAGAAGACTTTAAAACCTAAATCGAATAAAGCATAAGATCAAGACATGAATTTCCCTTTGAAAAATCCCTTATAAACCCAACTGGGAACTACTCAGACATAGTTGAATTCAACATCACAAGAGTATTTAGAATTGCAGAAAATTGAAATAGACAGAGTTTAGAAACGAAGAACAGGTTAAAGCAGGAGATCCGATGGTGCCCCTCTCGGTGGCTCCTCTTCTGGGCGTGACTCTCTTCTAAGGTTCCTGGTGAAAAATGTGGCACACCCTTCTAACCGACTTAAAAAAGGGTTTATATAGTGTCTTGAGTCCTCAGGAACGCTTAGGGCTTGCAGGAATAATGACGGGAGTGACTTGGGCTTTGATATGGACTTCTTAGGCTCGGAATTGAGCTCCCCGCGTTCTAAAATTTCGCACCCCCGGCGAATGATGTTCTGGCCGCGGGTGAGCTTCTGACTGTGACGATTCACCTTCAGTTTATCGACCATATCTGGAGATCTAACCGTTGGATTGCTTTGATTCCACTTGTATTGGAAAGCTGGTTGTCTCCTATATCTTTTATCACAAGTTGGGGATTATCAGACGGTGGAAGGCCTCCATTTGTTACCAAACTTCCGACGGTCTGAATTTATCCAAAGTTATGCTTTTTGCTCCCAAGTGCATTCCTTTTGTCAAAATATCCTGAAAACTCTTTTGAGATTCTAAAACATAGAAATCACTTAAAAACATTTAAAACTGAGTGAAAACACCTGCATAATATATTAAAAGTAATCCATAAAAATGGTCAAAATCAGGTGTTATCAACTCCCCTAGACTTAAACCTTTGTTTGTCCTCAAACAAAACCAAAGATCTGAATCCTAGAGAAGAGGTTTGAAAATCGCTGGAACTAACAAAATCTCAGAGACAATGCTTCCAAACAAGAGTTTAATCATTATGCTCAAATCGGGTATAGTCTAGAAAATTCTCACTAAAGCACAGGCATAACTAGTCCGTTGATCCGTCATGCGAAAATCTACACACTTAAACCTATCCTCCAGTCAACTAGCTCTTAACATTCATTTAAAAGTTCAAGTGGTTCTCATCAAAGGACTTTAGTAAAGCAATCAAGGCTAGGTATTCAAAATGGTTTTTTAATGGTAAGGCTTGATGTGTTTAGGGTTACCTCTTTCTGGAGACATGACATAATGCAAAACAGCAAGAGAGGATGGAACTATAAATGCCCCGACAGTTTCCAGTCACATTCTTCTTGCCTTAAGATTCTTGATCTCCTATCTTCAGGTTCTCCTCATGACTCCCCCAGACTTAGATTTTTGTCCAGGTTTTAAAACCAATCCTTACAGATGAATACTTGTAGCCTTTGCTTCCAATGATTTCGGCCATCCTAGACTCTTTAGGCTTTTGGTTTCCTTTCCTTTCATATTTCTTTTTCTTTTTTTTTGATTTTTTTTTTTTTTGAAAGGGGAAACAGCCTTTTGACATAGAGTCTTCGGAAGCACTAAATTTACTTCTAAGTTCAAGCTTTTTGAGGTACCATTGAGCTTTAATAGATTTTTGATGCTCCACTTTCCCAAATTCCTTCAGTCTTTCTCTTGAGTGATTGAAAACCATGTTGTTCCTCCCTCTCCGGCGTTTTTGCACATATCTGCCAAAAGAGCTAAAGAGAGAATGCATGAAGTTTGAAATAATGGTTCTGGGTAAAGGTTGTGGTACCAGCTACAGATGAACTGGCCATCTAGGACAACAAAGAGTGGTAATAATGATGTAAAGATGTCCTAGATGTATATCATGATGTCTGCCTAAAAATAATGATGAGAAAATTAGATGTCAATATTATGTTCAAGTAGAATGAGCTAGTGTATCCTGGCAGAAAATATCTCCGTGAATAGAAATCCTCTGGTGGGAGTTCGTAGTGCGAGTACTCTAGCTACCGCCTAGTCTAGTACTAACCACAAAAGAACTAACATGTAAAGTCTAGAAGCATATGATTTTGTTCCGGTGTTCCTGTTTTGAAAACTTTTTATGAAACACAAACTCAAGACAGACCAAATTTCATTAGTAAAGGATGAACATCCTCCCCCAGACTTAAATCACACTGCCCCCAGTGTGTCAAATCTTTGAGAGGATGGGATAATCATGGACTGAAATTTGGAATGTTTAAGTGTACTTACCTGGTAATGTGCTTCCTGGTTTGTGATTTCTGTTTACCTCTTATTCGTTCTTCGCTTAAAAACCTGAAATTATAGAAAACAAAAACAAAGCAGCAAAAATAGAAAAAAGGCGAATCAAAGGGAATAAGTAAAATACCAAGTGGGTTGCCTCCTACTAAGCGCTTGCTTAAAGTCATTAGCTTGACTTTGGTGATGCTCTAGCCTGGCGGGTCTGCCAAGAGCATTGCTTCTCTTCCTTCTTCTTCTGCGAGGTATGGTTTTACACGTTGTCTGTTGACGACAAATGTATCTCCTTTCTTACCTTAAAGAATGAGTGCTCCATACGGTTTGACTTCCTTTACTGTGAAAGGTCCAGACCATCTAGATTGTAGCTTTCCTGGAAAAAGCTTAAGGCGAGAATTGAAAAGAAGAACTCTTTCATTTGGAGCAAAGGACTGATGTATGATCCTTCTATCGTGATATGCCTTCGTCTTCTCCTTGTATATCTTGGAGTTTTCATAGGCATTATGGCGGATTTCTTCTAATTCGTGCATTTGAAACATTCTTCTTTCTCCAGCTGGCTTAAAGTCCATGTTCATCTCCTTAATAGTCCATTGTGCTTTATACTCCAGCTCTACAGGGAGGTGACATGCTTTTCCATAAACAAGATTGAACGGCGTGGTCCCTAAAGGAGTTTTGTATGCCGTCCGATAGGCCCAAAGTGCATTGTCGAGTTTTTCAGACCAATCTTTGCGATTTATGCCAGTTGTCTTTTGTAAAATCGATTTGATCTCTCTGTTAGAGATTTCCACTTGTCCACTTGTTTGAGGGTGATATGGAGATACAACTTTATGCGTGACTCCATTCTTTTTTAGCAGATTTTTGAAGACTCTGTTGATGAAATGGGATCTTCCATCGCTTATCACAATTCGAGGAACTCCAAAACGAGGGAAAATGATTGATATAAACAGCTTTATAACCACTTTTATGTCATTAGTAGGGCTGGCGACTGATTCTATCCATTTAGAGACATAGTCTACCGCTACTAAGATGTATTGGTTTCCGAAAGAAGTTGGGAAAGGTCCCATGAAATCAATTCCCCATACATCAAAGATTTCGACTTCAAGAATGAAGTTTTGAGGCATTTCATTCCTCTTACTGATGTTGCCCATTCGTTGGCATGATCACAGCGTGAGATGTAGGCGTGAGTGTCTTTGAACATAGTAGGCCACCAAAATCCTGCTTGAAGAACTTTAGGAACTGTTTTGTAGGTCGCGAAATGTCCTGCATATGCTGAACTATGGCATCCAAACAGTATTCCTTCTATTTCTTCTTCAGCCACACACCTTCTGAATAAACCATCTACACATCTCCTATAGAGATAAGGTTCGTCCCAGAAATAATGCCGGATTTCCTCTAAGAATTTCTTCTTTTTATAGCCAAAGAATTGTGGAGGTTTGATGTCTGCAGCTAAGTAGTTTGCTATATGCCTAAACCATGGGATGTCAAAAGCATCTGACCGCCGTATAGGAGGTTGGGATGGCTTTTCTTGCATGGTAATAGGTATAGTCTCCATAGCGTAGACATTTTCTTCTGGAAAACTATCATTCAAAGGGAGTTTTTCTTCTACTCGAATTCTAGAAAGATGATCAGCTATTCCATTATCTGCTCCTTTCGGATCTCGGATTTCAATATCAAATTCTTGCAGCAGGAGTATCCATCTGATCAGCCTTGGTTTGGCATCTTTCTTTGCCATTAGATACTTGATTGCAGCATGGTCAGTATGGACGATAACCTTAGATCCTACGAGATAAGATCGAAACTTCTCAAATGCAAAAACGACGGCTAAAAGCTCCTTCTCTGTAGTCGTGTAATTACATTGAGCTTCATCCAGAGTTCTACTTGCATAGTAGATTGCATGTAGTTTCTTTTCTTTCCGCTGACCAAGCACAGCTCCAACAGAAAAATCACTTGCATCACACATGATTTCGAATGGTTGTTCCCAATCAGGTGGTTGCACAACTGGAGCGGAAACAAGGGCGTTTTTGATCTTATGAAATGCTGCCAAGCACTTATCATCAAATTCAAAGTTTGTTTCCTTGCAAAGCAGGCGTGTGAGAGGTCTAGCAATTTCCAGCATGCCCAAGAAAACTTCGGATTCCCTTCACATTAGTTGGAGGTTGTAGGCTAGTCATGACTTCAATCTTTGCTTTGTCAACTTCAATACCTTTTCCAGATATTTTATGTCCAAGCACAATTCTCTCGCGGACCATGAAGTGACATTTTTCCCAGTTAAGGACAAGATGCTTGTCTTCACAGCGCTGCAAAACTTTCCCTAAGTTTGCCAAGCATGTGTCGAAAGAGGATCCATAGACTGAAAAATCATCCATGAAGACTTCCATGAAATCTTCGATGAAATCAATGAAAATAGACATTATGCACCGCTGAAAGGTTGCAGGTGCATTACACAATCCAAAAGGCATTCGCCGATAGGCAAAAGTTCCGTATAAACAGGTGAATGTCATCTTTTCTTGATCTTCCGGTCTAATTGGAATTTGGAAGAATCCGGAATAACCATCTAGAAAGCAGTAGTATTCGTAATTTGCCAATCTTTCTAGCATTTGGTCAATCAAGGGTAAAGGAAAATGATCTTTCCGAGTTGCTGCATTCAGTTTTCGGTAATCAATGCACATTCGATGTCCCGTTACTGTTCTTGTAGCAATCATTTCATCGTTCTCATTTTTGATAACAGTTACTCCTCCCTTCTTCGGGACAACATGTACAGGACTAACCCAGGTGCTGTCCAAGATGGGGAATATGATTCCTGCTTCCAAAAGTTTCATGGTCTCCTTCTTTACCACTTCCAGCTGGTTTGGATTCAACCTTCTTTGGCTCTCAATCCAATTCTAGGCATTGTCCTCAAGATTTATCTTATGCATACAGAGGTCTGGGGAGATTCCTTGTATGTCATCAAGAGAATAACCTATGGCTTTCCTATACTTAACTCATTTAACAGCTTAGTAGTTTCAGCTCTACTTAAGCCAGAATTTATGATGAGAGGGTAAGTTGAGTTTGGTCCAAGAAAAGCATACTTGAGCCCATCAGGAAGAGGTTTAAGCTCAACTTTTGGAGCTTTGAGCTCGCTCCATGGGTCGTTTATAGCTGCCAAGGTATCTTTGGGAGAAGTAGGGATGTGAGTTTTCTCATTCAGGTCTAGATAATTCACAAGCTTTGCATAATCCTCGGCTTTATCAAGCATTTGCGCACACTCTTTTGAAACTTCTTCGAGCAGGTTACGATCATCATTTGTGGTGGTGAGGATGATTCTCAAAGGGTCATCAAGAAGGATTTCTTCATAAACTCCCTCAGTAATAACATCAAGCTCATCAACCCGACAGAGCCCGCCATCTATGGTGGGTTTCTCAAGACTCTTGTTCATATCGAACTGCATAATCAGACTCCCTAGATGGAGGTCTATCTTTCCTTCCGAAACATTGATTATTGCTCTTGCAGTTGATATCTTCCGAGAATCATAGGATCCTTTGGTTCTCTTTCTAATTCAAGCACTACAAAATCAGTCGGAATACAGTTTTCTCCAATCATGACTGATACATCAACTAAAAATCCTTCTGGTCGTCTGACTGATCGATCGGCAAGGATCAGAGAGATTTTTGTGGTCTGGAAAGTATGATATCCTAAGCGTTTTGCGACTGAGACAGGCATCATGTTGATGCTCGATCCCAAATCACATAGACAACGTTCAAAAGTCATATTCCTGATTGTGCAAGAGAGTACAAAACTTCCCGAATCTTCTTTCTTCTGGGGGACATGGTTTTGTAAGATGGAACTACATTAATGAGTTATCATCATAACGCCTTCTTCTAATGCTAGAGAATTTGTTAGAATGCCCTTCATGTATTTCCTAAGAGCAAGTATCATTGCACAAGCTTCAATGAAAGGTAACCTCACATTTAACTGCTCGATTATCTCTTTCAGCTTAGCCTTTCTTTCTCTTTCTTTGGTCCTTTCAAAGCTCGTGGGTATGGTGGTTTGGGCTTGTGGACACGAGTAAGAGGAGGAGGTACAGGTTCTTCTTCAACGATTTCTTGAGGGGCGTTTTCGTTCTCCTTATCACTTTCTTTCTGATGCGGTGTGTGTTGAGGGTTGTCAAGTTTTACCGTAAATGAAATCAATAGCCGCAAGTGCACAGCTGATCGATTGTAGTACTTAGGGATCGAATCCACAGGGAATGATGATCTTTCCTGCAAAAGCCTTCGAAAGAAATATAAAGTAAGGAAGTCTAGAACCAAACGGTTTTGTGGGGTTTTGGTGGTGTGTTTAAAATGTAAAAACGAATCTTAAAGAGAAAATACGGGAATTAAATGACCTAATAACTAAGCTTAACAAAAACGAGTAAAAACGAGAAAAACGGCTAACCTAATTGCTTAAATGAAAATCGATTGAAAGAGTAAATAAACTACACTAAAGCTTGAATGAAAATTGGTGTAAATCTATAAGAAAAGAGGCGCTGGGGTTCAGGGAAGTTTTCTCAGGGGTACGAACGATTCAAAACATTGCTAGAGAGTAAATTTGATAAGATCTTAGCTTAAACTTTTCGAACTGGAGTCACGGACGTATGAATACGCCAATGTCGTGATCATAGACAACTATCTCTCTCAACCCTGACCAGTAGGTTTCCACTCTGGCCCTGGAAAAGAAGAGATGCATTATGTTTAAGACTCGTCAGCATTCACAAATCGCCCATAGGTAGGTTTCCACTCCTATGTTTGTTTTGCTCTCCCAAACTAGATCTGACACCGGATGAACACTTTCGTGTCACCAAGCATCTAGATCAGATTGAAGTTCATGACGCTACTCTCATGCAGTAAAAACGAATTCAGAAGAAAAAGTTCTAAGATTCGGCTCAAAAGCTCATGGAATCCTCACCGAACATATAAATCCCCATCGAAAATCACTTAGTCCCAACAATAAAACTACTCAGACATGATGAACCAAATCAAAAACATAGTATTAAAAAGTAGAATAGAAACCGAAATTGAAAAAGAAAGAACAAGGGTTCAAGAGACAAATCTCTCTCTCCCTAAAACCTAAAAACAAAGCTTAAAGTAAAATTTCTGTAAAGTATTTCGTGTCTCTTTTTCTCTTCTTAAAAACGACCTAAATGACATGTATTTATAGTCTCCAATACTCTCTGGTGTCTAGGGTTCCGGATTTGAGGCTGGGAAAATGATACGGGCTTCAGAAATGGGACTTCAAAGTCGGAGTTGGCTGGCCACGGTCGGGATGAGTGCGACCGCGGGAAATGGGTGGCTGGCCGCGGTCGTGGTGCTTCTGACTGCGGGGATTGGTCTGTTGGCCGCGGGTGGAAATGCTTGCCGGCTGGTTTACATGACATCTTGCTCCTTGCGTATCTTTTGATTGAACCGTTGGATTGCCAAGCTGTAAAGTGTGATGGAAAGCTGATACTTCCATATTTAAGATCTCCAAATTTGAGCAGGATCAGACGGTGAGAAGGCCTTCAATCAGGGGTGAACTTCTGACGGTTTGACTCTGAGCTGAAATCTGGTTTTCTATACATTTTGTTAAGCTCTTCTCTAAGTTACCTGAAAAGAGTCTTGGAACTACAAATACTAGAAAAACGTAATAAAAGTACTTAAAAGCAATTAAAAACATAGAAAAAGTATTTCAAAATGATTCATAAAAGTGGTCAAAATACGGTGTTATCAACTCCCCCAGACTTAAACCTTTGTTTGTCCTCAAACAAAGCAAAAGCCTAAACTGGTGAAGTGAAAACAAAAATAGGGAATGCACAAATCTCAGAGACATGAACTCCTAAACTAGGACCAAAGATCGTGCATCAATCCACAACTTAGTCTAGAAAATTCTCACCAATGAACAAAAGATACTAGTCCACTTTTTCCGTCATGCAAAACTTAAACAATCTAAATCTTGATTCCAGTCAACTAGCTTTCTACATTCATTAAGTTCAATAGTGAGTTCTCATTAAAGACATCATCCAGGGTAGACGGCGTTTGGCATTAAAGGGCTGTTTAAGTGGTGGAGTTAAAGTGTTTTAGGTTACCTGAAGATCAGGAGAATGCAAGATAATATGCAAAACCGCAAGAGAGATAAGGACCTGTTGATGACCACAATTTTCAGTCACTTCTTCTTGCCAAACGTTGCTGCATAATCCTTCCTCCTTTGTTGTAAACCGCTATTCCCCCAGACTTAGATTCTTTCCGGGAATCAGAAAATGATCTCCAAAACTCCATAAAATCAGACTCCAGTTGCTTTGGGACTTAAAATTCGACGTCTCTAGACTCTCTAAGGCTTTTATTTCCTTCTTTTCTTATTTTCGGATTTTGGTTTTTTTTTTGAAAAGGAAATGCCTTTTAAAGAGAGAGAGACTAGAGGACGAGATTGTACCAAAATTTGAGATTTTTCTAAGGCAAACTGAGCTTCCTCTTGTGTTGAATCCTTCCGGGAACTTTTCTGGCAAATCGCAGGTCTCTGTCCTTGGTGACTGAAAACTGCGTCGTTCCTCTTTCTCTCCAACATTTTTGCACTTATCTGCATATAAGACAATAGAAAACAAGAGTGCATGTGGTTTGAAAGAGGATTGGTTAAGGTGGGGAACTAGCTAAAGATGAACTAGCCATTCAGGATCAACTGAGAGTGGTAAAAGGATAAAGGAGTCCTGAATGTATGATTCGTTTCCCTGGTCTAATGCTTCAATGAGAAAATTAAGTCCAAATTAAGTCCAAATAAAACAGAGCTAGTGTATTCCTTCATCTAAATCGAAATCATTCAATTCCTCTGGGGTACTTCGTTTCAAATGTGCTTAGCTACCGCCTAGTCTAGTCCTAAATCATGAATGAGCATGTCACTAGGAACAGTCTAAAATCACACAGTCAACTATCATTGATTCATGTTCACCATTCCCTTTTAAAACGTATTTTGAAAACCGATTTTGAAAAACTTTAAGGAAAAAGTGTAGATAATGCAAGACTCATGAAAGAAAAGTGGTTAGAAACGGATGAAATCCTCCCCCAGACTTAAATCACACTGTCCTCAGTGTGAAACAAGTCGAGATTGGATGAGAAAAATGCATAGATAATCGAATTGGTAAGGCCAAAGAGAACTTACCTGGATCCGGGATGCTGGTGGAGATGAACCGGATTCATTCGAAGAGGTTTGGGAAGGTGATAGGTGGTGATGAAGGTGGTGGAGGGTGATGAATGAGGTGGAGTGGGGATTGGTGAGGTGAAATGAGGTGAAGTGGGTGGTTTGGGGTCAGGTTTGATCTCAACGACCATTTGCCGCGGTCAGGAGCCACGCGACCGCGGCAAACCTGTGCTTGGCCGCGGTTAGGAATACGCGGCCGCGGTCGAATGGGTGTTTCCCGCGGTCAGAACATCTGCGACCGCGGGAGCTTATTTCGCGGCCTCTTCCTGCTTCTCCTTGGTTCCTGCTGGGCCGAGCAGTCAGGGACCATCCTTCTTTTTGGTTTTTTCGGGTTTTTTGATTTTTTTGGCTTTTTTATTTTATAAGAACACATGAAACTAAGAAAAAGAAAAAGATCAATAGAAAAAGAAAGAAAAATCCTATATAAAACAATACCTAAATGGGTTGCCTCCCATTAAGCGCTTCTTCTGTTTTAAGTCGTTTAGCTCGACTTTTGGTGTTGGACGTGGCTTAGTCTAATGAAGAAGACCTTGTTCTTAGACAAGTCTTTTTCGACATCTCCTTGCTTTGTCTAGCAGGTTCTTCGTCACTCCAAAGTTCTTCCATAAACTCTTCTGTTGCAGAACGTTTTCCTGCT